GCCTTCCTTAGTTTAATTACAATGGAAGGATCAAGGGATCAATGGGCATCATCGAAAATCCACTGGTTTCCCCTCTCAGCATTTACATCACCAAAGTCTGCTAGTCTAAAGACGATCAGTCTGGGGACTCACCTCTCCGCCTGGCACATTGCAGAATGGCTGAGTGAATCCGGAGCGGAAGTCACAATTGGATCTGAGAATTTTCTAAACCAACTGGGTCCCCAGGTCCCCCCCCTTGCTGTGTCTGAAATTAGGACAGAAGAGGTGCAGGGAACAGAGGATCATGAAGCAAACCGCATCCAACAGCAGAGCGGCAGCGACCAGCTTAATGGTCCTGCCCAATAAGTTTCGTTTTGCCTGCTATAACGTCAGAGGAATAGGTGAGGTTGCGAAAAGATTGAAACTTGCAAGTTGGATACATTCACAAAACTCACATATTACTTGTTTACAAGAAACAAAACTAAATGAGGAAAAAATCCAGGAATTTGCTTCTTGGTGGAAAGGGCCCCAGTTCTGGGCCCCGGCGGAAGGGTCGCGGGGTGGAGTAGCCATCCTGTTTAACGAGGACTTAGATATTGACGTGTTGGACTTTTTTGCTGATCCTAGGGGAAGATGTGTTTGGGTAAAAATAGCAGTTGGGGAGGAAGATTGGGCTATTATGTCGGTGTATGCTCCGGTTTGCTATAATGAGAGACTCGAGTTCTTCGCTGCCCTGCCTTCCTGGATTCCCGGCGTAGAGAACCTTGTTATAGCAGGTGACTGGAATACGATAATGAACCCAGGTATGGATTCTCCTAATCCTACAGCGATAAGACAAGACTCTCTACTATTATCGGCTATGATGGACTCACAAAGTTTGGTGGACGTGTTCAGAGTTCTAAATCCTGAGGAGAATGGATTTACTTGGCATGGCCCGAGACCATCCCGTAAAGCTTCTATCCCCAGAAGGAGGCTTGACTTTTTTTTGGCTAGAGGTGTTTTGTGGGACAGGTGCGTGCTGTGTGCTATAGGAATAGATACTATGTCTGATCATTACCCGATTTACATGGATGTGCTGGGCAAAGAACAGTTTGACTCCTGTCGCCCTCCCTTTAAACTGAACGTGAGTTTACTAAAAATAAAAGGGATTCCGGAGTGGGTTTCAGAGCAGCTTAAAGCCTGGATGAGGGCACAGGACCTTTTTGAGGAGGAAGAGAAATGGGCTGAGGTTGGGATGGGTATTATTACTGCAGCCCTGAATACCTTCTCCAGATTGTGTGCAGCAAACCGCTCTTGGAAGGAGCACTCTCTTCGAGAACAGATAGTGGAGTCGGAGAGGAAAATGGCTGGGGACCCTTTTTCAGATTACTACTGGTCTGAGAAGAGGAAATCACTCCTATTACAGTTAGAAGAGCTGGAGTCAAGTAAACAGGAGCAATGGCTTCTTTGGTTGAAACTAAGGGGCCTAGTGGGCTATGATCGAATGACAAAAATTACTTTCAGATCAATAATTCTAAAGCAAGCAAAGCCGCTGATCAGGGAATTTGTTCACCCTTTTCTTTTAGATGTCCCCATAGCCAACACCTCAAAGGCATTGTGCTCTTATGCAACGGCCTACTTTCATGATATAGTATCTACTAGGAGGGGATGGGACACTGTGGATTCCGATCTTTCTGTTTCGTCAAGTTTTTGGGAACAGGTACAGGTTAAGCTACCTCCTCAAGAAAAAGATTTTCTGGATGCTCCTTTCTCCTCTCAGGAACTTTTGCACGCGGCAAAAAGAATGGCACGAGGGAAGTGCCCAGGTATTGATGGACTTCCGCTGGAACTGTTCCTGATTTGCTGGGACTCCTTTGGTCCATTTTTAACCCAGATATTTAATCGGGCTCTCTTGACTGGTTCCCTACCTAAAACTTGGCTTACGGGGGTTATATCACTGTTATATAAAAAAGGGGATAAGAGGGAGGTGAGAAATTATTGTCCAATATCGGTTTTAAACGTAGCTTACAAGATTTTGGCCAAAGCCCTGGCTATCAGGGTGGCCTCCTTCCTACCGAAGTTAGTGGGGAAGGAACAAGGCGCCTTTGTTAAGGGCAGATCAATATTTGATAACATTATGTCTACTATTCAAGCCCTGGAGATCATGGGTAGAGAAGACAGAAATGTGGCCATTCTCCTTCTTGATATGGAGAAGGCGTATGATAAAGTCGGATGGGCTTTTGTTTGTACTACCCTTGAGAAAATGGGCTTTGGCCAAGGGTTTTGTACTTGGGCGAAGGCAATGTATTCGAAGGCCTCGTCAGTAATGGTAAATGGTAGACTCTCTCCAGAATTCCCCCTCTCGAGATCCCTGCGACAGGGGTGCCCGCTGGCACCCTTGTTATTTGTAGTCCAACTGGATGTGCTATTGCTTAATATTAGAATAAACAACCGGATAGAGGGCCTCTGTATTCCCCCTTCGATCCATTGGAAAGGAGGGGCCTTGGCAGATGATTTGACGCTTGCCTGTGTTAATTCCCCAGGAGCGCTAGAAGCATTGAGGGAGGTGCTTGATGAGTATTGCCTCTTATCGGAAGCGTCGATTAATTGGGATAAATCAGTTTTCTTCCTGCCTCCCCAATTTGACCTTTGTGTTAATTGGGGCTTGAGACAGGTCCCAGCCAATTCGTCTGACAGATTTCTAGGTGTGCAGATTTCGTTATCAGACTGTTCTAATACACAGGATACAATAATGACTGAGAAAGTAGTGGCGCGTATCGCAGGATGGGTACGCAACCACCAACTTTCCCTGTTTGGTAGGGCAATGGTGTTGTCTTCGGCGGCCTTTTCAATCTTGTGGTTTCCCATGATGATTCACCTCCTGGGTGAGGAAGCTTATAGAAATATAAAAAGATCGGCAGCGAGGTATTTATGGAAGCCACAGGCTCAGGAGGAGCAGGGCTTTATAACTAAGGCTGCATGGGAAACTGTGGCTTGTTCAAGAGACGAAGGAGGCCTTGGTATATTGGATCCTCTCTTTCAAAATGTGGCCCTATTGGCGAAATGGCCAATATGGGCCATGTTTGATCAGGACGAAAAGCAATGGGTTGCTTTGGCTGAGTATATCGTACAGCAAGAATGGAACCTCAGTGAAGGTGCGCATGTCTGGTTGTGCTTCCTGATTCAGTCTTACTGTCTGAGAAAACTAAAGTCTAGAGTTTGGAGTAATATCATGCAGGCATGGAACAGAGTCAGGCCGGTGCAGCTGAGGGAGCCATTGTCGAAAGGCGAATTCCTAAATCAGATAATCTGGGAGAATGCTTACATAACATATCAAGGGTCAGAGCTTCTCGCAGACGAAAGTACTGTCTCCTTCGGGAGAACCTGGGTAAAACATGGCATTCTGCAGCTGAAGGATATTTGGGATGTTCAGACTGAGGACTGGATCCCCGGGCCAAGACTCAGAAGTATGCTACCCAGAATTCATAATGTTGATCGGAATTTTCAAAAAATAAAAGATTCGGTTCCTCGTCACTGGATTCATGCGATAAAGAAAGATTCTGAGTTTAACCCGGGCGTATGGCTAAAGGACCCGAATCAGCAGGATACCTACCTGAAAGTGGTGGGTCCGGACCTAGCTCCTGGGACAAAAGTAACAAAATGGAAATTGAGAGGGCGAGCAAACGCTGCAGTACTACGGTATGAGGAGGACTCTATCATTGAGAGTAGTCGGGACTTGGTAGAGGTCAGGGTGTGGGAGAATCAGGGTACCAGGAGACCAGAGTGTCGTCTGATCTCCTCCAAGAGAGAAGGGTCTATGGTCGAGCCAGTGGTTTATGGGTGGAATACAGAAACTCCGGCCCGGTGTTCTCCAATAATATTGTATAAACCTAAGATTGGGGTCCTGCTTCAGAAGCAGAAGACTGTTAAAAAGCCAATTCTCACAGCTGAAAGGCGATTAGCCCAATGCCAGAATGGGGGAATTCAAAGAACGGACATTTTTAAGTTGTGGGAAGCCCTAAATAAAATTCCCTCTCAGAAGCAAGCAGCATTACAGTGGTTACAATCCTTGCAAATAACTGCTTCAGCAACTTGGCTTAACACTAAAGGGATGGATATTTCTACATCCTGTTCCAGGTGTGGATGGGGCTGGGAAAGTGCTTCTCACATATGGTTGTTTTACCCAAGCTCCAATGTAATTTGGGAGTGGTGGAAAGATAGATGGAAAGACTGTTTTGGCTCTTCTGGAGTGTGGGGGGAAGATTTTATCCTGCATGGTAAATGGGCTGGGTCAGCAAATCTTAGTAGCGGAACAGGTTACGTAGCTTTGATATGTAGAGGAATTATTTTTGAAGCAATCTGGGCTGCTAGAAACGCCAAAGTCTTCCGTTCAGAATCAACCTCTGTTCATCATTCTTTAAATCAGATAAGGGCAGCAGTCAGATTAGTGATATGAGCTGATTGGAGAACAAAGGGTCAACTTTGGCTTTCCAAAACATGGACCAAAAGGGCATCCTTTGCTTCAGTTTCCTCTGATGGAAAAATGCAGTTCGCTCGATGGTTGCTACAGGATTAGTGGAGTAGGGGGGAGACTATCTGCCCCGTAAATGTCACACATTGAGGTTACTGTACAGGTCGCTTTAGACCTGCTGGCCCAGTTGGAAAGTTTGGTTACTCCTCCTCCAGGAGTCCAGGTTTAAGTAAGGATAGTTTGCTGGGCCTATAGCGTATAAGGATAAGAAGCTCAGTGGAGGAGTAGGGCACCAAAGATATATAAAGTCTCCACAGCTCATTGTTAGCCTGATGTCAGGCGTTTTACTCGGTTCAATTTTTTGCCTTGAGCTTCACTGTTTACTTTTGGAAAGCCTGATTTGAGGGACGCTGGACCCGGTTTCCAGCAGATAGATTCAGAATGCGCTAGCAACTAGGCTCTCTGTTGAACTAGTCACACAAGCTAAAACTGGCTGAGGCTGCCAGGTTACTTCCGGGTCGAATTGTGAGGTCCCCGGCCTCTTTTTCAGAGACATTTGGTAATAAAGTTAAAGCTTTCCAAAAAAACAAAACAAAAAAAATCTCACAACCTGGCCACGGGGCTGAGATGCCCTCACTGAGGGCACACTCACACTACCACTTCCAAGAATGTATACAACTGCAATCACGCCCAAAGCTTAGTTTCTTTTTTGTTTCTTTTCTTTTCTGAGTTTCACGGCCCCAACTTTTTTTTTTTTTNGTGGTACCCAGGCTCGGCAAACTGGGAGCGCAGTGAAATGGAGGGTCGGCAAAAACAGGCTCGGAGGTACTAGTGGTTCAAAAAAAAAAAAAAAAAAACTGAATCGTTCTGAAAACGTCAACGTGCTGGGTCCCTCCTCCCCCGCCCCCTCCCCCGCCACCGCCAAAAAAAAGACAAAAGAATAGACGAAAAAGAGAGAGAAGAAAGTAGGCTAGCTCTCGGTCTGTCTGGATTGCAGACACATGACCTGGCCGAGGAAGCAGCAGAGAAAGACGCAGAAGAGTGATGGTGCGCCTTCGCCCCCTTGTCCTGAATGATGTGCATTGTGCAGGCACTGTCCTGCTCAACCATACTGACGTGTCAACAACCTTGCACATGATCATGATAATGATCACCACTCCGCACCTGAACTCTGTTTGGACGTTCCCATATCCGTTGATTTGGTAGGCATTCATCACACGAACAAACACACACACACACACATGGAACACACATGGAACACACATGGAACACACATGGAACACACAGACATCACATGGCGAACACGAAAGCATGCACGCACGCACGAACACACACACCCACATAGACAAGGCCCCGAAGAAAGATCTCTCTCTCTCTCTCTCTCTCTCTCTCTCACACACACACACACACACACACACAAAAAAAAAAAAAAAAAAAAAAAAAAAAAAAAAAAAAAAAAAAAAAAAAAAAAAAAAAAAGCCTCCTGATGAGTGGGTGAAAGTCCGACGTAACAGTCCGGCACAGTCATGCTTTTTTCTAGTATATAGCGAATATGACAACACACACACACACACACACACACACGCGTGGGCGTGCGGGGAGCCTTCGCGCAAGCGCCTGAGAGATTGAGAGAAGGCCCCATCCTCGAATGAATCTGGCCCCGTTTCTGCACTGAATGCAAAAAAGGAGCCAGGTTCATTCGAGAATGGGCCCTCCACTCTCTCTCTCTCCCTCTCTCTCTCTCTCTCTCTCTCTCTTGCACACACACACACACGCGCGCGCGAACCCACCCACCCACACACACACACACGCGCACACATGCACGCGCACACACATACACACGCGCGCACGGCCGCGCGCCCCCCTCCCTCTCCCCCCAACCACCCACGCGGTGCGTTTATATGAGAGAGAGAGAGAGAGAGAGAGAGAGAGAGAGAGAGAGAGAGAGAGAGAGAGAGAGATTACACTGCTTTCCAAGTGCCCTACATTTGTGCGCCACATTTTGGAAGTGGCCTGGCAGGGCTGCTCCGTGTGACAACTGTTTGCTGTGTATTCATAATGAATTGTGTTAAGTCTTTGGGAGAAAGGAGCAGCTTGTTCACTCGAGTGAGGTTGATCGATGATGTCAGGACGTATGGGATTGATTACCTGTGTTGTGTAATGAATTAAAGTGGGGAAAGGTCTTTATGAAACGGTTTTCACCTCTTTGCAGTAGCAGACGCAGATCCCAGGGTTCGATCCCTAGACCTTGCCCTACCTGTGTACAGTATCTGTGTAGACCCCGAGAGTTGAACCTGTGACCTGTGTGTTCGTAAACAGTTGGTAGGCTGTCATAGGTCCCTAGGTAGCAGAGGGGTTCGATCTGTAGATCTGTAGGATAGAAGTCTTAGAGAGTTCCAGAAGTCTTAACTGTAGTCCTTCTAGAAGGTCAGCAAGTGGGCAAGTGGTGAGTCAAGTGGTGAGTCAAGTGGTGGACTAAACTGCAGTGCAATTGCAGTACGATTTCGGTAGGTTAGCAGTGAGTCCCCACTCAGTCAGCGGTAAGGTCCAGCCAGTCCCAAGTCCGGTCCAGCAAGTACCACAAGGGACTGTGAGCACCATGGGCCGATGGAAGAGGGCAGACCACCGAGTTTCAGAAGTATAAATCAACAGGCAGCACCCAGCCCTTCATTCATTCCTGCGTGAGCCATGCGGAAGCGCTGCCACAGCGACTTGTGCAAGGAGGTCTGCAGAGAGCCCGGAGCCGAAGTGGGCGAGAGAGAAGGAGCGTAGCATAGTGATAGGGTAGTTGCGGCCATAGCCGCCATAGTTAGAGTTAGTGTGAAGTGTGTGTGTGTATGTGTGAAAGTCCAGAGAGTCCCGTGTGGGATATCCAGGGTGATCCGGTGTATGTGAACAGTGAGTTGTTTGGGCGCTGATTCGCCATAGCCAGTTGAAAGTGAACTCGTATCTGGATGCCATATCTCTGAGTTTTGAGTGGCCGCATGTCGCCAGTTTGCTGCGCTACTGTTTACATGCATGAAAAGTGTGAATGAGAACGAGTCTGATTGCATTGGTATCAGAGCTGGTACCCGCTATTCCATGCGCGCCGTCGTGTGCAGGGCCTGATGCGCCATAGCTGAGGTGGCCGCCGAGAGTCATAGTCCGCCATAGCAGACCCGAAGGTTGGAGAAGCCACCGCGCACCTGCAGAGAAGACCACGATGAAGAAGAAGACCGAGAGAGAGAGAGAGAGAGAGAGAGAGAGAGAGAGAGAGAGAGGGAAAGTATATAATTCGTTCAAATGGTCATATATTATTTGAGCGATACATGATTGGGTTACTACGTACCTGCTGCGCTGGAGATATTGCTACGGTGAGAGAGAGAGAGAGAGAGAGAGAGAGAGAGAGAGAGAGAGAGAGAGAGAGAGACAGAGAGAGAGAGAGATGAGCAATACAAGTTTCGCTGTTACGTACCTGTGAAGTTGCCATGCAGTCCACGAAGAAGAAAATTGCGGCCATAGCCGCGGGAGCTTGACCACGGAGTAACGAAGGAGGGAGAAACCGAGGAAAGAGAGGGAAGCCATAACCGAGGAGGAGGAAGGAGAGGCGAACAAAAAAAAAAAAAAAGAGAAAGAAGACAGCAGGGTGAAAGGAGGCGAGGAAGGTGAAGGGAAGAAGAAGGTTGGTGAGGGAAAGAGAAGCCGGCAGCCATAGCTGACCGAAGGGTTGACCGGGAGAGTTGATCGGAAGTGTTGACCGACGTTGACCGAAGTTGACCGGGGGTTGACATGGAGGTTGACCGCAGTGTTGACCGAGCGTTGACCAAGGCGTTGACCAAGACTTTGACCAAGTTGGAGCCGGTAAAAACTTGCCAAGCCTTCAGCCTATCCCTCACCCTATGGATGTGCACACACCCTGTGGTACTTGCTGAGTCCAGTCTGTTTGTCTCTTCTTTCTGCATCGAGTCCCTTCTGTCTAGGTGATAGTACTCTGTGGATGAAGGATAGGGCCTTGTTGACCGAACCCACACGGGCTGAGTAGGGCTAAAGACTGTGTCTGACGACTCGACTGTCCCGGAGGAGACGAACCCTCCCAAGGACCGGTACTGACCGGCGGGCTGCTCGGTGTGGCACGGTAGGCCCAAGATCCGAGCTGTGGGCTGCACAACAGGCCGTCTAAGTGTTGAGAGACCTACTGATTGCATCATCCTGTTTGCGGCGTTAAATAATTCCTGAGGAGTTATAGGGGATCTTCTTAAATGTCCCCTGATCAGCAACAGGTCTAGTAGTGACAACCATAGTGTAGGTCTAGGCTAGAGACCCTAGTTGGCAGGATCCCTGTCCGGATTCTGTGAGTCTTAGATTGAGTCAATAGGTTTGTCAGTCAAGGGTTAGAGTCTAAGTGGTGAGGAGTGAAATCATCCTGATTGTGCACCTATCACCATGGTGGACTTGCGTAGTGGGAAGAGCACTAGCCCCTACACCCAGGAGCAACAAGAGAAGATGGTCGCCTTAGTGAGAGAAAATAAGGAAAGGAAGTTGAAGGCAATTGCAGAGGAGCAGGCGGCGAAGAGGAAAAAATTGGAGGAAGAGGTGATGAGGATTCAGCAGGAGGAGGAAGAAAAGAGAAAGGTTGCCGAAGAGGAAGCAGCAGCAGAAGAGCAAAAAGAGAGAAGACGTATAAAAGAGAAAGGAGAAAGTAGTGGCACGGCGAATGAGGACGCCGCAAAGGAGAAGAAGATAAGTGAGTGGATCGCTAATTTATTGTTGGGGGAGGATGAGGAGGCAGAGTTTTATGTGGCCCAGGACGAGAGGGATGCGTTAGCCCAGGAGCTAGCAGCAATGGACGACCCTTTGGAACGGAGGGAAAGAGAAGAGGAGAAGAAGTTAGAGTGGAAATTGAGGATGAAGAGGGAGAAGAAGAGAAGAAGGGACGAAGTTAACAGGCTGACCGAGGAGGCGGCAAAAATGAGGGATTGTAGACAGGAAGTGCAGGCGCAGACAGACATGTCTGCCAAGATGGATAAGGTGCTGGGTTATTTAGAGGCGTTGAGCGCGGCCTGGTTGGAGGAGCGCCAAGCCAATAGGGGTCAAGATGTGGCCCTAAGTGTCATGCGGTCAGGCTTTAGAGATTTTGCGCGCGATATGGTCACCCATGTTGGAGGCGAAGTTAGGCGGCTGAGGGACAGCATGGGGAAGTTTTGTGAAGGCGCCATCGAGGGTGCCAAAGCAATAGCCGCTGTAGAGGGCTAGGCCAGGCCTCGTAAGGAGCCTGTTAAGCTGAAATTCCCAGATGCATACAGGGGAAAGAAGGAGGAAAACTTTGATAACTGGGAGGTGAGCATCAATAGCTACGTGTACTTACAACACATTCTGACTGAGGAGCAAGTCCTCGTCGCCTTCCAGACCCTCAAAGATGAAGCAGCCAGTTTTGCCAGATCCCTTGCGCGCGCAGCCGGTTGTGAAAACAACATGGTCGCATATTCTAAGATTACCACCCTTCCTCAATTCTTCAAGGGAGAGACTTGCAGACCCAACGAGAGGCGTTAGAGCCTCTGATAAGCTACAGACCATCCACTCACGACAGTGGAGGAGTGCAAAAGCACTCAAGGAAGTTATGGACGACTTAGTAGCCGTCCCAGACCATGGGGTCACTGAGACCCAACTGGTCCAGTTGTTTTATCGTACTATGACAGAGCCCCTGCGTGGGCACTTCTTTGACAAGTCTCAATAGGCCGGCATCACGTATGATGTTTTGAGTAGGGACGTCGTCCTGTTCGAGTCAAAGTCCATGCCAGTATCCACTTTCTGGCATAAGGACCTGGACAAGGGGAAGAAGTGGAAAGACCGTACCATCTCAGGCCAAGTGAGGGTCAGGGATCATATGATCCTTACCTTAGAGGAAGGTGGTACAGATGAGGTCCCATGCAGTCAGATCGAATGGGGCCTTGAGAAGGAGGACAATAGCGCGGGACAGGGGAGGTCCTATGCTGTTGTCGCGGCTGGAGGGAGGCCGCAAGGTAGAGGAGGAGGCCAGGGAAAAAGGGGCCAGGCCATGGGAGGCCGAGGACCGGGCGCACAGGGGGTTGGCGGACAAGGGAACCGCCAAGTGGGAGGTAGGGGTCAAGGTCCCCCACCAAATCTTCAGGGTTCTTGTCGGTCCCCACAGCGACGAGGTGGAAGGCCACCTCAAGGACGATGGCACCGAGGCTTGCCTCAGGGCAGGTCCTGGGAGGATTTGGGTTTGGACCAGCACGTATGGCAGGAACGCGTGAACTTGGGTGGCCCACGTAATTAAATTTTGTCCTCAGTACAGACAGGCCCGATGGGCTCCTCAGCAGTCAAAAGGCAGCCACCAGTAGGGGTCGCAACTGCCCCTACTTCAAGGCCATGTGGAGAAGTGAGCGCGCGCGAACAGGACACTCCCAACCCACATAAGCCTATGGCAGAGGTTGCAGGCCCGTTCCTAGCTAGCTGTCTAGAGACTGCTTGTGTTAGTGTCTCTCTAGGCATGTCCCTCACAGAGTCGCAGGAGTGGCAAAAGAGCTGAAGGAGAGGATGCCAGCCTGGGTCAAAATGAAAAGGAGAGTAAAGGACAACTGATCTTGGTAGATGTTGAAGTGTTTAGAAGCACAGTAGGGGCCCTTATAGACTCAAGGGCCACCCGCAGTTACATTAGCCGTAGGGCGCTGAGGAAGCTGAGGCTAGGATTAAAAGTCCAAAAGTTGGTAGACCCCATAGTCAGTGTCCTCGCAGACAACCGCACGATGCGAGTTGAGGACTACGTAGAGGGAGTCCAGGCATACTTTCGCCTAGAGAAAGATGGGAAGGTGGAGAAAGTTCTTCATTCCCTGACTCTCCTCGTTCAAGATGACCTTCCTTTCGACATAGTGTTAGGAATGGATTGGGGAGAGGCAGCAGGGGCCACACTCCACTTGAGAGAGCATGAGTGTAGGCTCCCCAGTCCGTCAGGCGAGGTTAAGACTGCCCGCCTGTTTCATGTGTCAGGTGTAGATAACACCTTGGTGCATTGTTGTCTCAGTGCTCCCGCGTTTGCGCGACTAGTGAAAAAAAAGCAGTTAGAGGATCAGGTCTTCGTAGTGTATGTGAGGCCTGTCACTGAGGCTAAGGAAGAAGATAGTTTCACAGACCCAACCATTGCCAAGCTGCTGGAGGAATTCAAAGATTTGATTGAGTCGCCGACAGGAATAGTGTCGCGACCCATCCAGCATTGGATAGAGATAGAGCTTGGCAGTAGGACTCCTAAGGGAGTAGTCTACAGGATGTCCCCTAGAGAGTTGGTGAAGCTACTCAAGCAGCTAGACAAGCTCCTCGAGAAAGGTCGGATCAGGCCCAGTTCGTCTCCTTTTGGAGCAGTGGAGCACCAGTGATGTTTGTCCCCAAGAAGGAAGGAGAGCTTCGTATGTGCATAGACTATAGGGTTTTGAATGCGATTACTGTGAAGAATGCTCTATGTAACCGGGTGAACGCGCTGAACGCGCGTTCACGTTCAAACGCGCGTGTTCATACTCCCCGGGGCCGCGTTCAATCGTGTTCCAACGTGTTGCGCGCCACGTGGCACGGAAAAAGTGAACGCGACCCCGGGGGGCGCGCTCGCGCGTTGCAGACTACGGGGCGGTGGGCCTCGTTCAACGAACCCCGAAAGTGCAAACCCCCCCTCAAAGGCCCACCCCCCCTACCGCGTCACCCCTCGTCATATGTGAAAGGTCCTTTTTTTTGGGAGGGGGGGGAATCCCCCTAACACGGCTCAGACGGCCCATGCAGGATATCAGAAGGGTCCTCGCAGCCATGTAGCGCAGACCCCCCCACCAAAATCAAGGCAGGCAGTGAATATGAGGTAGAGCACGAGCTGGCCAGTATATACTCAAGATTCGAATTCAGGTCTGTATTTCAGCAGTTATGGGTTACTCACGTAGCTAGGCCATGTTGGTCTATGCACGTGATTCTCAGGGCTTGGCTGCACTACTCACCAAATGTGCAAAACTAGAATGAATCTTCTGCAGAACATGGAATAATACGCCGCCTTATGTTTTGTCTTTTGTGCATGTGGTGAGTAGAGGTCCTTAGGGTCACTGCACGTATTCCTAAGAAAAGAAAAACGAGAAAAAAGCAAAATGAGAAAAAAGAAAAATTCTCGTTTTTCTTTGCTTAGGAATACGTGCAGTGGCCCTAAGGGCCTCTACTCACCACATGCACAAAAGACAAAACATATGGCGGCGTATTATTCCATGTTCTGCAAAAGATTCATTCTAGTTTTGCACATTTGGTGAGTAGTGTAGCCAAACCCAGAGAATCACCTGCAGAGACCAACATTTGGCCTAGCTACGTGAGCAACCCATAACTGTTGAAACACAGACCTGAATTCGAATCTTGAGTATATATTCAGCCAGCTCATGCTCTACTTCATATTCACTGCCTTCCTTGATTTTGGTGGGAGGGTTTGTGCTTCATGGATGCGAGGAGCCTTCAGATAGCCTGCATGGGCCGTCTGAGCCGTGTTAGGGGGACTCCCCCACCCCCCCGAAAAAAGAAAAGGACCTTTCACACACACACACACACACACACACACACACACACACACACATTCACACACACACAAACACACAAATTCACACACATAACTTTTTTTTTTTTTTGCCCGTTTTGCCTAGGGCATTGGCCCACAGCTCCCCCCAAGCACCACCGCCGCTCCCCACACTGCCCACACCCCCCCCAAGCACCGTCGCCGCTCCCCAACGCCCCCGACGGGCCTCCCGGGCGTGGGTGGCGCTCTGCGCGTTCACGTTCAGAGCGTGCACCCGCGTTCTTTAAATGGACATTCTTTGAACGCGCGTTCAACGCGTTCAAAAATTGAACGCGGAACCTGCGTTCAACGAACGCGCGGCAACACAGAGAATGTTGAGCCGCTGCCCAGGATAGACGATCTTCTAGATCGGGTGCAGGGTTGTAAGTATTTTTCTAAAATAGACCTAAAGTCCGGATATCATCAAATAGAAGTCCATCCTGATGACCAGTACAAGACTGCGTTCCGGACTAGATATGGACACTATGAGTTTATAGTGATGCCCTTTGGACGGACTAACGCGCCAGCGACGTTTCAACGATGCATGAACGATCTGTTTAGGCCGTGGTTAGACAAGTTTGTAGTAGTTTATTTAGATGACATCTTAGTTTTCAGCAAGACCCTCCAGGAACATCAGGGTCATCTGAGGCAGGTCTTGGAGAAGTTGAGAGAGTCAAACTTCAAGATCAACGCGAAGAAGTGCGAGTGGGCCAAGACGCAAGTCTTATACTTGGGCCACGTGTTGGACGGAGATGGCATTAAGCCAGAGGACAGCAAGATCGCGGCGATCAGAGATTGGCCGACGCCTCGCACATTGACATAGTTGCGGTCGTTCTTAGGCCTAACTAACTACTATAGAACGTTCGTGATGAATTTTTCTATTATCGCCGCTCCCTTGCGCAGATTGCTTAAGAAAGAGACAATCTGGCAATGAGACAAAGATTGTACATCTGCGCTAAAGAGACTGAAGCGCGCGTTAATAGAATACCCTGTCCTCAAAGTGGCAGATCCGTCCCTGCCATTTGTCGTCACCACGGACGCAAGCCAATATGGTATAGGCGCCGTGTTGCAGCACGATGACGGCAATGGCTATAGACCCGTAGAGTTCATGTCCTCAAGGATGCCTTCAGAGAAAGTAGCCACCTCGACATATGAGAGAGAACTCTACACTCTCAGGCAGGCCTTTGAGCATTGGAAGCATTACCTGCTTGGGAGGCACTTCAAAGTGTATTCTGACCATTAAACGCTTCGATGGTTAAAGACTCAGGCCAAGATGACACCTAAGTTAACTAGGTGGGCCGCTGAGATAGACCAATATGAATTTGAGCTTAAGCCTGTCAAAGGGAAATATAACGTAGCCGCGGATGCTCTGAGTAGAAGATCAGACTACTTTGGAGCTTAGTACATTATCTGGATATAGGGAGAGACCTGCAGGAGAAAGTGAGGCAAGCGTATGCACAGGACCCTATCTATAGTGACCTCCTAAAAAAAGTTAGAGAGGCCCCAGAGACAGAGCCAGATTACCGCACTACAGAGGGTTTGCTATTCGTAGACTAATGTATTCGACCATCTATGCATCCCTAACAGCGAGGAAATCCGTAGTCTGATCCTAGGGGAATGCCATGACATAGAGGGACACTTCTAGTGGCAAAAGACATTAGTCAATCTGATGTGTGCGTATACCTGGCCAGGGATGAAGAATGAC